TAGCCTGATCCCATAAAATAAAGCATGGATGTTCTGGTTTGAGCCAGTTCTCACTATTGCATCTCTTCTGACCTCATGAACTGATCTCATCTGGCTGACCTCATCACAAATCTGAATGTGATAATGAATTTAATTTACTTTTTTCATAATAAAAATACTGTTTTACTAAAACAGTCAAAAGCTCATTTAAAAAACTAGTTCATAAAAGCTGGCATGGTGGCCTATACCTATAATTCTAGCATTCTGGAAGGCTGAGGCAGGAGGATCAAAAGTTTGAGCATTTCTGGGCAACCTGGCAAGACTGTCTCAAAAAAAAAAAAAGGGCCTGGGATACAGCATAGTGCAAAGGCCCTAGTTTCAATCCCAAGTCCCACAAAATAAACAGGTCATTTGAAAGTGCACAAAATTCTAAAAGCAACTTTTTCATACTTTCATTATATTCTACTTTTTTCTATGCACATACTGTTTTTAATGTTTATCATTAATCAGTAACTTTGTCAATAACATTTTATATTATTAAATGCATATACTTCTAAACTTATGCAACAAATCCATTTCAAAAATATCAGTAAGAGGTATATAGAAAATAATTGACATACTCACTAAAATAACCTTACTGAAGGATGGCAGAAAGTGTACAAGGCTACAGGCAAGCAATTATTAAATATGACAAATGGCATGGCATTTGTAACTCAGCAAAAAAGGTAGCAACTTTTTACATTCAAATAGTTATTTGGGGTCCAGGGATTTAGCTCAGTACTGCCCCCACCTGCCTCGCAAGCACAAGGTCCTGATTTTGATCCCCTGTACCAATTTAAAAAATAAAAAAAGTTATTTGGAATTTTCAATAGTCAGTTCTGATTTGCCTGTGTTTTGTTGTTGTTGTTGTTTTCCAGTAGGGGCTCAAACTCAGAACCTTGTTCTTGCGAGGCTGGCACAGTGCCACTGAGCTAAATCCCCCCCCCCCGCTTATGTTCTTTAATATTCAACTCTGAGAATGTTACTCTTTAAGGATTACAGGATTCTAACTCACTGAATTTTTTTTTTCCTTTTGTTGAAATGTCTCATTCTGTAGCCCACTCTGGCCTTGAACTCATCATTCCCCTGCCTGAGCCTTCCCAGGGCTGAGATTACAGGTGTGGGTCACCACACCTTCAATGAATGGGGTCCTCATTAAAACTTTCAACTATCATAAACTTTTATAATAAGCACAGTGCCTGGCCCAAAACAACATTACCAATTTTCTTCTTTTTTCTTTTAAAGCTAGTTAATGGAAGCATGAGCAGAACTAGTCTCTTCCATTACCTTTCCCCTCTATATAGTGACTCTCTTGTGGAGTATTATTAACATTTATCTTTAGTTTGTAAATTCTCCCAGAGTCTGCCCGCAATCACCCAGCACTGAAATCAAGCCCATTCCCTAGATCTTCCTACTGGGATGCATTTTATGAAGAAAGTGGTCTCTCTCTAGAACCCAGGGATCTTCTGTCACTGAGCTACAACCCTATCCTTTTTAAACTTTTTTGAGATAGGATCTTGCTAAATTGGGATCCACCTGCCTCAATCTCCTAAATCACTTGGATTACAAGCATGTGCCATTGTGCCTGACTATAGATGATGATTTTTATGCAAAATTACCTCTCAGTGTACCTATGTAAGCCAATTAAGACTACAGCAAATCTTTAAGATTACTTTCAAGGAAAGCACTTTGACAATCATACCAGTTTCTGGTACATTCCTGATGTAGTTCACACAGATCAAAGGAGAAACGAGAATGGACTGCTTCAAAAAGAGTACACTTATGAATGCCAGACTACTAATAAAATCAATAAAAACAAGTTGATATTGTGGGATATCAGAAAGGACTGTGCTCTCCCATACAGTGTAATTTCCTTTATTGTTTCTAACAGACACAAACCAATGAGCTAATGGCAACTTGATTAACAGTGTATAGGCATATCTGAAATTCTTTGTTTTTTTGTTCCAGGGATGGAACTCACTTGCGAGGCAGGTGGTGGCACTACTAAGATAATTCCTCAGCAGTTCCAAAATTCTTAAACCTTCTAGAAAACTTAAGAGAAAAATCTATAACTTGTTAAGGTCAGTGTTGGATAAAAATATCGTACACTTATTACACATACTATCTCACGGACATAAAAATGTAATATAGCGGGATGTGGTGATGCACACCTGTAATACTGACCACTTGGGAGGCTGAAGCAGAAGGATCACAAATTTGAGCCCAGCCTGAACAACTTCTTGAGACTGTGTCTCAAATAAATAAAAAAATAAAAGGGCTAGGGATGTTGCTCAACAATGGAGTGGTGCCTAGGCCAGAAGCCCTTGGATGGGGGTAGAGGGCAACTTAGTAGGGAATCATAAATACAAACTGGAATAATCCTAAGATTCTTAATGGGTACCTGCTATTATCCCACTCCTTTCAAAGATACACTAACACCATTCTAACCCCGTGTTACTCAGTCTAGTAATTCTTATTATTAAAAATTCCTCTGAATATTTATAATATTGCCTATAATTTTAAAATCCAAGTTTTGCCCTACAGAAACAAAAATAAAGAATGTCGCATAAGAATATGGCAACCACATATACCTCAAACTAGGAGACCACTGACACTTCACCAAAATGAAAATTGAAGCTTAGAGCTAATATTAAAATTTTTAGGTCCACACAATACCAGAATGTAGAAGATTTGCAACAAGCTCTTCACTATAATTATGTCATTCCATCTATAAATGCCAAGACATTGCAACACATTAGTATACTACAGAGACAATGTTATGACTCTGTTGAAATACACTATTTGTAAAGCAACAGGGGAAAAAAAAAACCCAACACATATTTTCTAAAAGGGGCAACAATTTAAAGAGGTGCAGATAGTGTTATAATAACAGAACTAGGCCATCCTTCTACAGTATTATGAATGGCTACCAATTTTCTTTTGCATAAAGAATAGATGCTGTCTGACAATCTAATTTAAAATATATAAAATATCAAAACATGTACAGACCCCCTATACTGCAAGATCATACTGCAAGACACAGGGCTGAAGATGCCTGCCTGGCAAGTGCAAGGTCCTGAGTTCAATCCCCAGTATGGGGTGGGGGAAAATCAACACAAATAAAAAATTTAAGAATTCAAAATAGGGCCAGGGAGTTAGCTCAGTGGCACTGTGCCTGCCTCAAAAGCACAAGCTTGAGGCAGAAGGATCGCTATGAGTTCAAGGCCAGCCCGGGCCACATAATGAGTTCAAGGCCAACCTGAACTACATGGTGAGACCTTGTCCCTGCCCCCTCCATTCAAAACAAGCCAGGTATGGTGGCATACATCTGCAATCCCAGAACTCAGGAGGTGAGGTAGGAGGATCACTCAGCCTGGACTACATAGTGAGAACAAAACAAAACAAATAGAAAGAATTAAAGAATTAAAAATAAGCCAGTTCCCATGCTACAGGCTTGTAATCCCAGTACACTAGGAGGCTAAAGCAGAAGGATCTTAAATTCAAGCCCAGCCTGGGCATTTTAGCAAGACCCTGCCTCAAAACAAAAAAAAATGTTAGAGTTGGAGATGTGGCTCAGTAGTACAGTGTTTACCTAGCATGCTGAAGGACCTGGATTCAATCTCCAATAATGGGGTGGGGGGAAGACAAAAAAAGCTCTTCACTCAGGAAAACTAAGTTGTCACTGAAAGGCGATTTTACAAATAATTTCAAGAAACCTATATATTTATTACTTATAAACTGTGAATGGTGGCCCATGCCCGTAATCCCAACACTTGGGAGGCTGAGGCAGGAGGATCACCAAGGGTTCCAAGGCCAACCTGCAATGCAAAGTGAGATCCTGTTGGAAAAAAATTTTTTTTCCAAGTCCAGAGTTGATGACAAAATGGAGATCAGAACAATATAAAATGACTGTCACAGAAAAACCCAAATACGAATTATTGTACACTCTTTCTAGGAGGGGAAGGCAACCCTAACAAGTGCCTAAAAAAAAAAAAAAAAAAAAAAAGACTTTGACAATTCAAAAGCTACCACATGACAAGACTCTAGACAGAAACACTATAGGAACGTAGGGCATCAATAGTCCTGAAACATAAGGAAATTGGTAATCAGTGCCCAAAGACTTCTGTTTAAGACAGAGAGGTATGTAAATTGCTATAAAAATAATTCCATCTCAAACAGTTAGAGAGGGAGTGTTAAACAGGTAAAGTTTCAAGTACACGAAAAACAAAACAGAGAAGCAGACTTTTTAGTTACTACCTGTGTCTTTTCAAAATTAAAAAAAAAATGTTCACTCCCATCTCCCTCCACGCTGTAGAAACTAGCAATTAATGACCATCTTCGGCCACAAAATGGAAATAACATAAATATTTTTCTTCTTTTTGGTTTTAGCTTCTGAAAGTTAATATCGGCTCTACAAACTCCCAAAACATCTAGTTGTTCCTGAGATGTATTTGTGACCACTACTGGAAACATTTAGTGCTGCATGGAAATGTACTTTTGTGGAAAGAAATCAGTGCACGAAATGGTGCTTTTATAACGTTTCCATAATGAGTAGGCATTCTCCTTGCCCGCATACTTAAGACTTTGTGCCTTAAAAGACCAAAGAAAGGTCAATTTGTTCATTTTTCTTTAAGGCACACGGAGCTCTGAAACCTTCCTCTTAAAGAGTATCGTCCTCCCACCAGGCCTGCGCCGCTTGCAGCTGCTCGAAAACGTGGGAAAACTTCGAAAGACCTGAGGTAAGGCTCTAGATTTGACTTTTACAGGAATGTTTAACAGTGTGCCCTATTACACTTAAGGATGCACGAAAGTCGCCGTCCTCTGAGAAGAAAAGGTCAGGGTAGGAAGAAATTACACTCAATTTTAATCCTTGTGATTCTGATTCTTCCCCGCTCTCTCTGACCTTAATTTGACAGGACATCGGGTTGCCCTCCTTGCCCACCAACCATCCCAACCATCCCCGCTGCAGTGCTCAGTCTTACGGTTCTGAAGCATCAAAAATCGGCCAAGCTCCCGAGAGTTCAGGCTGCCGTCGCTGCCGCCATATTACAGCTTGTGCGGCAAAATGCGTCAGGGAGCGAGGTGCGCGCCCGAGTGAGGAGGGTGGGGGCTGGTTGAGGAAGAGCCGTTTCCTAGGCCCCAGGGCTAGGGCTGGAGGGCCTCCGGCGGCCAAGGCAGTTCTTTTGGCTTTTGGCCTCGGGGCCCACCCCTGCGCCCAAGCAGTCTAACTATCTCGAGGGAAAGAAAGTCTGTTAGCTCAGCTCAGCCTGACGCGCCAGCTCCGCCCCTCTCCTCTGGCCCTTCCCGCTCTCGCACCGGACTGCAGCATATGACGCCACCAAATCAACACGGGCCTCGCGCTACGTACCTATGCTACCACAATGTTCTCTTCCCTGGGCCCGGTCCTTCAAAGCGCTTCAAATCTACCGCCGTCAGAAAAGGCGCTAAAGCCCACTAACCGACTCCCTCCCCCACAGTCCAGTCCAGGCGTGGAGGAAAAGTGTCGCTCCGGAAGTGCGTAACGGAGTCGTGGACGGCGTCTCCCAGCATTCCCTGGTGTTGTCACCACCCCCTCCTTGGAATTAAAGGGTTTAGGTTTCTAGTTTAGTTAGTTTAATGCTTTCTTTGAGTTGACTGGGCACTTTGTACCCATCAGAATGCCATGTCATGCCAGGTAGGAGGTAGGAGGATCTCAAGTTTGAACCCAGCCTGGGCAATTTAGTAAAATCCTGACAATCAGTTAATCGATAGGCTGAGGGTGTACATCAGTGTGAAAACTCTGGGTTCAATCTTTAGTACCTTGAAAGGGAAAAAGAGGAGTGCCATATAGTTCCTGTAATAAAGTGCTTCATTTAGTATACATATATGGATGCTCATTTCAGGGTATTTTGAAGGATCGTCTACTTGAAGAAGCTCATAATTTCAGCTTTTAGTAAGCCCTACAATACAATGTCTAAAAAGCCAGTCGTCAACAAAGCACTCTTTGAGAAAAGAGAATTACAAAAGGCAGCAATGTTTTTGTTTTTAATTCTCACATGATATAGATTAGTACTGTATGTTCAAATTTGATTGTTCTGTGAAATCCCATAATTTCCCAAATTGATTTGACATGGATGTATTGTGTTAAGAAAGATGCCAGGGATTTAGCTCAATGGTTCTACTGCCTGACTCACAAGCGCAATGTCCCGAGTTCAATCCCTGGTTT